AAAATTAGAATACATCGTGAACCACCTGATGCTGCACAAGATGGTGTACACAGGATCACAAGTAGGATGAAACATTTGACAGGAGACAGTGACAGTTGGTGGTGTCAGTATCGATGGATGGAACGAAAATTTTTAAAGTCTGTACTATGTCGCCAAATCACTTCAGATGGTGTTATTCATCAATATATGTTAAATAAGAACTTGTCAGCAGACCAGAGGCAGTTGAACAAACTGTATTGTTGATGAGATGGACAATTGAATTAAACAATTATTATTTTATTATGAGAAAAAAACAATTATTCAAATTTGAATGGAATGGGAACTTTAGAGGGAAAGGGTGGAATAGACCAAAACACAGATTCCATTTATGGTTGTGAAAAGTCGAAATTTGGAGAGATATGCACGTGCTCCAACTTTTCGCAGTTTAGCAAATATGAGTAAATGACGCTCAGTTGCCTAACCTCTGTCTTCTTATTCATGCAGTTGTCATTCATGAAAATGTGGGACATTACCAGGAATAAACATTTTGATAGGTGTTTTTCTTTATCAAGAACTTTGATACTTGTGTAGTTCATAGAGTACCCTGTTGTTTTGACATGAGATGCCAGCGCACATCTCTTGGGATGAAGCCTCGAATCACTTTTGTGTGATGGAATCCATCCTTTTAGAGATCTAGAGGTCTGACCTATGTATATTTGGTTGCAATTATTTCAATTGATAGAGTAAACTGTGTTGGTTAAGCCAAGCAGTTTATAGTGAGGACGGATTCGCAAGCAATCCGACAGTTCAACGGGCTACATAGTCTGATCAGCTTAGGGGGCAGTTCTTTGATATAGGGTGGGACAGCAAAACCAGATCTGGAATTTGGGATGGCGGTTATATAGTTGTTAGAATTGGTATTGTTGTTGGGAATTATATCAGTTCTATTATTAGGAGTTGTGAGAATATTACTTGGATTATTAGAGTTTGGTAGAATACAGTTTTTATAGCTTCCGCAAATTTGAAGTATGGAAAGTATTATCAGAGATGCTGATTACCCTTGTTTTCATCTGCTTCACCAAGTTGATTTTAATCCTTAGTTTATGGTATGACCTAAAATTGAGTAAACGGCCTGAGCACATGGGTTTCTGGTACCAGTCTACCAATAAACTATTATTGTTGGTGCGGATGAGTCTTGTGTCTAGAAAGGGGACAGACAGGTTCTCATCTTCTTTTCCAATGGTAAATTGGATGTAGGGGTCATAGCTGTTGAAATCTCCGACAATTTTATCCAAACCTCTGGAGGGAAAGCATAAAATAATGTCATCTACATATTTTTTTATGAAGAAGAGGTTATAGGGTAGTGTCAGAATAACAGTATCAAGCAGATCATCCATAACATGTTCTGTCAAAATTGGTGATAGAACAGATCCCATAGGACAACCATGTGTCTGAGAATATATTTTGTTGTTGAAAGAGAAGTAGTTACTATGAAAGAGGAATGTTATAATGTTGGTGAATGATTCTAGAGAAATGTGTTGACTTATCACATCCCAGTGTCTATTTATATGTTCTAGTACATACATCCAGATAGATATTACTGAATAGCGACACTACATCAAGACTGGCAATAATGGGATCAGGTGGTATTTGCAACCTGTTGAACTGGCGAGAGACATCAAACGAGTCGAGTGGTTTCTTTATCATCATGACAGACGCAGAAGATCCGCCAGGACCTCGCCATAGCGATCACGGGCAAACTTTTACAAAGGAAGAATACGTAGACATAATGTTCTGTTATGGACTTTGTAACGGCGATTCTACATCTGCCCGCCGTGAATATCGGCAACGTTTCCCGAATCGCCGAACACCTCATGTTACTGTGTTTGACTCTGTGTATCGGCGCATCCGCCAAACCGGACGTGTTCAAAGGCAACATAGTGATGCTGGTCGACCCCGAGTCTATCCTCCTGAAGATGAAGAGGAAATCCTTCGTATGTTTCAGGAAGACCCTACTACGTCTACGCGCATTGTGGCTGCTCAGTTGGGTATATCACAATACAAAGCATGGTTTACTGTGCATACTGCACATCACTACACGCCTGTGCATGTGATTGAAGAGGGCGATCCTGCAAGACGATTAGATTTCTGCAGGTACATGTTACATGCAGATACAGAAGATCCAGACTATTTTAAGAAAATTCTGTGGATCGATGAATCGAAGTTTGATAAGGACGGGATCACTTTCTACCATAATGCTCATTACTGGGCTGATAAAGAAGCTTTAAACCCCCGAAAAATAAGACCGACGGGGTCTCAGAGCCGGTTTTCAGTCAATGTGTCGATGGACATCATTGATGGATATTTAATTGGACCTCATTTTCTGCCCGCCAATTTAAATGGAGAAGTGTATGAAGAGTTCTTGAAAAATCACTTGTTTCCATTAATGGAAGACGTCCCATTGGCGACGAGACGAAATATGCGGTTCCAGCACGCCGGCTGTCCCGCACACTACAGTAGATTAGTACGGGCGTTTTAGACTCTAAATTTCCAAATCAATGGATTGGCAAAGGCGGGCCCATTGCCTGGCCAGCAAGAAGCCCGGATCTCACACCGATGGATTACTATGTGTGGGGACATATGAAAAGCCTGGTGTACGATGTTTTGCCCGTACCAACGCGCGATGAATTAATTACAAGGATAATCAGTGCAGCTGACCAAATAAAAAGCCGCTTAACAACTAGAGTTACCAAAAGTGAATTACGTAAGAGAATGCGGGCGTGTATTCGTAACAGGGGATTACAATTTAGGCAGAATCTATAAAATGTAATTAAATAAATCTGTAATTAAAACAACAGCCTTTTATTTATCCTACGTAATTATCATTCGTACAACTTTACTCACCTTTTTTTAATTTTATGTCTTTGTACTTGAGTTAGTTGTAACTTTTATACCTCAAATGAAAGCTTGTTAGATAGAGATATTATTCACATAATTTGCACATTTCATTACTAGGAGATCTTTTACAGAAAATTGCATTTTTTATCGAATAAGTTACTTAGTACTAAGTACTTATTATGAACTATTGGAATGTCCGCTATGCGACGATAACAAAAAACTCAAAATCAAACATGTAGTTTTTTTGTATTTCAAATTTGACCGTCTGAAATCGGAATAAAAAATAAAAAAAATAAAATTCAAATAACTCGAAAACGGTTAACTTCTGAATAGGACATTATAGGACAAAATCGGTTGATTTTGACCTAATCTATCACCCCTTAACAGGAATACGTGACATTACAAGTCACCCTGTATATATATATACATATATATACATATATATATATATATCTTTGAGTGGACACCTCATATAATTGCGATCGAACTTCACAGGTAAGTTCGTTTGATCGATCAATTTATTATAGCCTACTAACTAATAGAATTTTGATTAGCATCTCTCAAGCAAAACTACAATTTCTTGTTAACCCAGGATTTTTTTATTACTTGGTTCTTCAAGTGCCATTTTTTCTTTGGTTTCACTAACATTTTATCAGCTTCATCATATAGCAAGGCATGTAGCTGTTGAAATCATAACCACTTGACGGCATGAAGTTTGGTTCAAGCTACAAACTTAACTATGCACTCTCATATTTTTCTACATCAAAATCATATATTCATCAATATTGAACAGATGCTCTGTCAACTGCAGTGCTTGTTTTCGAAATTGTTCAGAATTTGCATTTTAAGAATATCTTAGGTACTTGATTTTTGTAGTAGCAAAACTGATCGTTTTTGGTAAACATGTATTGTGGTTTACGGGCATAACATAAATCTTATCCCAAAATTGAAACAATGGATGACATCTAAACTGCAATAAGAATTATTAATTTTGAAATCAATATTTCCTAAATGTTATTTACTCGCCTATAATATGCAGAATAAAGAATAAACTACAAATCATCTAAGAAATGTTTGCAAGATATTTTGGCCCCGGGACAAACAAAGTATCACATCGGCTTGAACTAAGGTCCACTTCATGTGGCTCAAGGTCATTTTTTACTCGAGCTTTACGAAGTTCGCAAGATTCGAGTGATGGTGACTTGGCGACTTACTATGACATGGAATGTGAAATATTATATCAGGAACCCTATACAACTATTGCTTTTATACATCCAAGCTGGGGAAACCGAAACAAGAGAACCTTGTCCTTGCTATCAAGATACAAAAGACATTTACAGAGGACGTGCTTAGTTTTGGTAGGAGGGCTATAAGGGCCACGAAAGATCTCCAACTCCAAGTGTCGTTTAAGTCGGCATACGAGATTCTTGAGCCTAACAGGAGTTTATATACCGATTCTGCAGAGAGTGTGACGAAATTTTTGAGTGGAGACTTGGTAAGCTTTCGGATATTTGGAATCACGAATGCAAAAATACAAACCCCTCTGGTTCTGCCTATGGCGAGTACGATAAAAAAATCAGAGCTATGGACTTAGCTTTACGCAAAAGATATAGGGGGTACAATATATCCATAATAGGTCGTGATGCAAAAGGCTTACATCCATTTTAACCGATCTCATTATTCTACTTCCCACGCCACTAGCCAGGAAGTATTGTAAAACTTCAAAAATGAGACGTGTTTTTCGGATGTTATGTGACATCTACGTCACGGTAAACCATGTCACATATTTCCGTAGGTCTGTCTATCAGATTCGGCATGTAGGTCCCGTATCTGTCCGCTAATTCTAGATCCGTCTACAACTTGGAAAGTACCGCCTAGGTTTTAATGAAATTTTCATAGAATGTCGATCCAGTGGCGACGAGACTAGGCAAAAAATGAAAAAATAAAAAACTTTTCTGACATTCCAGAGGCTCCTGATAATTTTACGTACCTATTAGACATATTTTACACATCATATATGTCTCCGAACATTTTCCCTAAAAATCTAGAATGACTGTGGAATATATACCTTCTTCGCGGTCTCACCGACGAGTGTTTCGTCGTCGGTGGTGGATGTCAGGGTACCGGAGCTGGCTTTTGGCAAGCGGAAATAGCAACGTTGTCAGATAGACCTTATTGTCGTTCGGGCAGTTAAAACTCTTCTATGAACTAATTGTATGGGACATGATCGTAGCTAACCTTTTTTATTAGCTGATGAAAGCGTTGCGTGTATAGTCAACCTACTTTATCGAGCCAAGATCATAAATGTGAGCGATTTACCAGTTACCTGATTCTCATTGCAGCTTAGATATTAATACTAACTCGGATTTTGGGCTATACTATAAGGATTCAAGCAAATATGTGAAACATGTGCTCTGTGTGTCTTAGGTCGATAACTCGAGACACCATCCCCGAAGAAGCCTTTGGTACATCGTCCCTCCGCCGTCCCTCCTGGCTTCTGCAAACCCCCCAACTTCAACAACGCCGTCGCAGCTCCTCTGGCCGGGGTCTCCCCGGCCTTGGCAGCAGCGCAGGCGCGACCTTGGGCGCCGCCATCATGGGAAACGTTTCCTCCCCGTCACCTTCACCGTCAGACGCTAGCGACGTTGAAGACGAAGACTTTGAATGCCTGATGAAAGCGGGCTTCTGACCCGTAAGGCCGGCACCGCCCATGAGCGCTGCGGCGGTGCTGGCTGCGGGACTGACAGGCAGCTTCAGGGAATTGCTGCAACCTGCCATCGGGAGAGCGAGCCATTTGCAGGGCACGGGCGCTAAGCCTAAAGTAAAAAAATAGGGCACGGTAGATAATCGCACTCAGGTCGACATTGGTCATAGAGGGGGTAAGCTATAGCTCATTTTGTTTGATGTTTGCAGCTTTGAAATAAACGATTCAAATTATTTTTTACGATGGGTTTTTATCATTGCCGCTATGAAAACGGTAATGTGGCGGAAATACCAAGTCGATCTAATTGAGCTTACCTTTAATACATCATCAAGGAACTTTTCTGATTCAATAATGCCTCTCTGGATAATAATAGAAAATAGAATTTTTTACTGCTTTGGCATAAATTAAATTAACCTCTAATTTAATTAATCTTTTGGATTATGGAGCCAAAGATGCGTGTAGTAATCCATAGATACATCAAAATAATTGACCTTTATTATTGGTTTATGTATTTTACCTGAAGATAGCCAACCTAATGCTATATTCCTGCATCCAAATAACTGCCAGAGGTAAAATGAGATACCGTAGCGCTATCTACAAAAATTTGACACAGTTCTATATATTCTTTGGAACGTATGCATGAACCGGAACAACCTGCAAGGGGAAATTACCTGGTACACTGGCTGGTCAAAAACTGAGCAGGGAACAGGAGCAGTTATATATGGGAACAGGTGCAATCCTGAGCATAATATACCGCTTGGAAGACACATCTCTGTATTTCAGGCAGAAGTGTATGCAATCTTGGACTGCGCAAGAGTAATGAGCGAGCGTATAACAATAAAAGGATCGCCATATACGCTGCCAGTCAGGCGTCGCTCCTAGTGTTAAGAAGTCCTAGACTAACATCTGGGAATGCCAAACAAAACCTGCGAACACACTGACGGAACACAACAAAGTAACTCTGATGTGACTGTCAGGACATTTAGGTAACGCAAGAAATAAAAAGGCTGATGAGCACGCAAGGAAAGGACCATCCACACCCTATACAGGCCCAGAACTTGCCTTGGAGGTGCCAAAAGGCATAATAAGGAACCGAGCCAAAAACTGGGTAAGGAACCAGCATGAAGAACATTGGCACTGAGTGACTGGATGCAGGCATGGGAAAGATTTCATCTTGGGACCATGTCCAAACGAGACTACGGAACTGCTCTCAATGAGTAGAAACCAACTTCGTGCAGCTACAGGACTTTTAACAGGACACAATGGCCTAAAAGAAGATCTGAGCAAAATGGGCTATACGATGGAGACCATAGCTGCAGAAAATGCGGAAGGAACAGAATCAGCCCTATATCTCGTATGTGAGTGCGAGCCGTTATATCACAAAAGACATCAACTCTGCTGGATTGGGTACTGTGAATTCGAGGAGCAAGGTACAATAAGTCCTAGAGGCTGCAGTGCCATCGGAGACTTTGGCTTCCGGGAATGATAAAAAAATTATATGACCCATCTATGAGATACTTACCTTTTCAAAGTATATATAGTAAGTAGAGAAACAGCTGTGACAAACTCCAATAGATGACGATACGGTATCTCACTTTGTCTGTGATAATTTTTCGGATGCGTAATACGTTGAACTTGAGTTTGCTTGGGTTCTATAGGACTCATATGAGAGAATAGGCCGCCAAAAGAATCGTAGGGTAGTATGTCAGATTTTCATGATTCTGATATTTTCGACATTGTGAATGGTCAAATAACGTAAAAAATACTTAAACCTTCAATTTTCAATTAGATGTGTTGAAGGATGAAGATTTTAGTTTCAATTTCATTAGTTTCTCCAGAATTACGGAGTGGTGGGCCATAGAAAATATTGATAGGAATGCCATTTAGCTACAAAACCCAACTTTTCGTGCTTGTCTGTGGGAATTTAAATAGTATCTTCAACTTGCAGTGTAAAACGATACAGGTTTTCTGGAGTTCTTTAGAAACCAGTGCTAATAACGTTTTTTACCCCTAAAAGAACTTGAAAATCGAAGAAATCGTGAAATTTTATATATACAGCTATAAAACATGCCTTTAGGCCATAATCTTAATAAGTTTATTAGACAACTTCTTGCCTAATGCCTATTTCTTCCAGTATCTGACATTCCTTCTCCCCAAATCTTCGTGAAATTTTACTTTTGCAAATAAAGGTGTGAATGATTAAGGGAATGATGAGAGACTTAACTTCCTGTTTTTGAGCGGTAAAGTAACGTTTTTTCCATATATTTTGTAATGCATCAAAAAAAAAGAAACAAAATGTTTATACGCATACGGCCAATTGACGGGCCCCAAACGTGAGATAAACTGTTCACCGAACTCGCCTCTCAATAGGGCCATTGTTTCGTGTGCGGTGTGGCATGTGGCACCGTCTTGTTGAAACCACATGTCAGCCAAGTCCACCTCTTCCAAAAAAAGTTTGTTATCATCGCACGGTAGTGCTCGCCATTCACAGTTACGTTCCGGTCATTGTCGTCTTTGAAGAAGTACGGCCCGATGATGCCACCGGTCCATAATCCACACCAAACAGTGATTTGCAATGCTTCTAGCTGGTCTTCACTCCAGATGCGGCAATTTTGCTTGTTAACGTAGGTACCCATTCAACCAGAAATGAGCTTCGTCGCTGAACACAATTTTTCTGTAAAAATGTGGATCTTCCTCCAACTTTGCCAGCGCCCATTCATCAAATTGGAAACGTTGTGGGAGGTCGTGTGGCTTCAATTCTTGCACCAGCTATATCTTATAAGGTTTTACACCCAAATCCTGTAGCAAAATTTTCCACGTAGTGGAGTAACAGAGGCCCAGTTGCTGCGAACGGCGGCGAATCAACATTTCACGGTCATCACTAACACTGGCGGATACAGCCGCAATATTTTCTTCAGTCCTCACTCTACGTCTGCGTGTTGGTGGTTTAATGTCCAATAATGTAAACTGAGTTCGAAATTTAGTCACAAGCTTCCGAATAGCTCCCTCAGTAGGCCGACCAAATTGCCCATAAATTGGAAGCAGTGCTCGATGCACTCTCTTAACCGAGCATGAATTTTGATAGTAAAATTCGATAATTTACAAGCGTTGTTCGTTCGTAAATCGATTCATGGTTAAATTATAGACCAAACTGAACAAGTTTGACAATGACACAAGACACGATTCACGCGTCATCTGTCAAAAACAGTGTTGCCAAAAAGATACTAGCAAAAAAATCACTCATTAGAACCCTACATTTGGTGCACTAACAAATATTGTATACCCGTTAAAATACAAAACTGAAGGTTGGTACTTCTTATCGCCAAAGCATCCGAATTCCTACTGACACGAACAGCTGATTACAAAAGCGACATCTCTGTATTAGTCTGTAACGTTGGCAATAATGAATTCCAGGAACATATTCAGAGCTGTTGTTCCCATTTCTGGATTATACTTGTAAGTGACTGGGAATTTTGACAATAAAATACGGGGCACATATATAAATAACTTTATTAGAAACTTATTATAGAGGGGATTTACTGATTACCAGGTAAATCTGCGGCGTCCTTTTCAGTAGCTGTAATTTTACCTGTAAAATACAGGGTGACCCATCCATGTGTGGACGGAATGTTACTCACAAATACATTTGGGAAAAATCTATTTATGTCATATTATACATGACATTTGAAAGCACATTTCTAAAATATTGGCAATTATACAGGGTGTCTCAATTTTGACCTACATATCAAAGTGATTTTTTAAATGGAGTGCCTCAAATTCTATTGCATATTTGGGTAAACAAATTCAAAAGAAGAAGATATAGCATACTATGGGGTTTTGGTAATTAGCTACTGAGATGTAAGGTGTTTTGTCCAGAAAAAACCGTACACTTCGGCAACCCGTCAATCCGCCATTTTGAAATTTGGAGTACTGGATTCAATTTTTTATAAGCTTTTTCTGGTACAAGGTTTGATTCAGTTAAAATCACTAGATTTAGTGTTATTAAGCCTTTAATTGAACAACACACCAGAATTAAGGAAAAAAATCACATCATCCATGGAAACAAAAGAAAAACAGTGGGCTAGTTCCATATTTCCACTAAGAGTACAGATTTGACGTAAAAACTAATAACAATCAGAACATTATAAATCAGCTTCAAGCGTAATAGAGAAAAACAACTATAACAACAACATAAATAAACAAATATCACTAGTCATGAATTGCTCAAAAATATCTCCACCATGTTGAATACACAGCCGTAGTCTTTGGATAAATGACCGTTGCACATCCCTCAGCATGTGTTCCCTTATGTTCAGAAAAGCATCCTTAATCCTTTCCTTCATATTTTCCGAGGTAGATGGTGGATATCTATAAGCCTCTTGCTTAACGTAGCCCCATAGAAATAAGTCCATGGGTGACATATCTAGTGATCTAGGAGGCCAAGATATAGGACCATCATGACCGATCCAACGATTGTTACTCCAGGTGTCTAAATAGTTACGCACAAGATTATGATAATGCGCAGGTGCGTTGTCATGTTGGAAGTACATATGCATCCGAGTTTGCAGGTTGACATCCTCCAAAAGCAAAGGCAAATGCTCGATCAAAAAATTCAAGTATTCTGTACCTGTTAATCTGTTGTCGAAAAAGAAAGGCCCGATAACTTGTCTGCCAATAGCTCCTCCCTAAACAGTCAAGCTCCATTTATTTTGGAAATCTATTTGCCTAACCCAGTAAGGGTTTTCCGTCGCATAATAATGCATGTTATGCCTGTTGACAATACCTATGCTGTTAAAAGTTGCCTCATCGCTAAAAGGAACCTTATCCAGGAAAGCAGTATCTTCACTCACTTTATTTAACATTATTCTACTAAACTCCATTCAAGCTACGAAATCCTGAGGAAGAAGGCCTTGATGCAGGTATAGTTGATATGGAATGGTACCTGTGCTTGTGAATAATCCTTTGGACAGAAGTTCTGCATATATCAGTTTCTGTTCCAATTTGCCGAGCCCTAAAATGGGGATTTTCCTGCAACTTTAATAGACTTTAATAGAACCTCCAACTGATTCGCCGCATTGGTGACACTTGGATTATTTAGACATTTTTTACTATATTCCCCTGCTCCACTTGATGCAAAACGTTCTCGTAGTGTGGAAAATGTTTCCGACCTTGGATGTCGCATATTAGGGTACGGTTGCTTATAAATGCGAGATGCTAGGAAGCTGTCCCTTTGGGCTTCGTCCAACACGAACACCATATTAACCATTTCTTCTTTAGAAAAATTCATGTTCAAACACGTTTTTATTATAATGCTCACAAAGCTAATTTTGACAGTTTCTAACTAATCAACAATTTATTTGTTTCCAAGGATGATGCGATATTTTAGGGAATTAAGCCGTTCCATAAAAGACGTGCTAATAACCGAAAAAATAGCCGTAATGGTATCAAAAAGAGCTCAGAAAAAATTAAATCCAAACTTGCACAAATAAACAGGGTGATGTATTTGAAATTTTTAAGAAAAACTACAATTTGCGTTTTTGACCACCCTGTATGAGCAAAAATTAAAACTAAAAAAAAGTAACAAATAAGGTAAAAGCTGAGGTGTGTAAGTTTTTATTGATATAAAATTCAGCACTACAAATTTCAAAATGGCGGACTGAGGAGCTGCCGAAGTGGGGGGTTTATCTAAACAAAACACCTTATACCTCAGTAGCTAATTACCAAAACAGCATAGTATGTTATATCAATTTTTTTCTTCCTTTGAATTGGTTTATCCAAATATGCAATAAATTCCATATGAAAAATCACAACTTCAATATGTAGGTCGAAATTGGCACACCCTGTATAATGACCAATATTTTATAAATGTGCCCTCATATGTCATGTATAACATCCTGTAAGTGATGTTCGATCTTAATTATGTGAAGTCGTCGTCGAAGTAAATATTTAGAATACATATATCGTAGTACCCTCGTAGTTGTACCAAACCCCCACGGTTTCAAAGCGCGCACGCAGCGAAGGAAAGCGGCACCGCGCCCCTCTCCCTACCTTCCCCCGCTCTGGCCGCCTATAAACATTCATGTTCTTCAAAGCCAAATTGTTGCAACAATTTCAATATTATTCAATCCAACCCGGATGTTGTCTGTTCCAATTAGTTTGCACACTCTGACCTGAGGTTAGAGCTAGCAGTGTTGCTGATTTCCTCATCCAAATATCGACAGAGCTTACCAGCAACCCCTTTGGTTGGTTGAGAACAACCACAGTATCTATATTTCAGTTGAGGTGGCCTAAGCCTATAAATGCCCTTCAAATCCATCTTGTCGTGACTAACATTTTGGGTAAAAGATTGATAGCTTAAACAATCATATCTTGATCTCTTATCACACGGTAATGTAAGAAATTTAAATGTAGAAAGCCAGACATGTATTTCTTCCCGAAAAAGGTCCTACCGTAATCTAAGCCCACAATACATGATGGATTATCGATGCTGATTGGAATGACAGCTTTCCAGTGGCCATAACCAGGATAAGCTTCAGAACTAGTGGGAGCGGCATCCTGGGTTCCTCCATCAGATCCTTGCGTTACCCCTAGAAGTGAAATTTCAGAAACACCGATTACTTGAACCAAAATCAGGACGGTTACAGGTGTAGCTCCCACTCCGTTTCCACGTCCCACTGACGTAAAAGCTCATCTGTACCAGTCTTACGCCTAGATTTTATATTTGACGCGAGGGCAGTAAGATTTCTCTCTTTACACAATTGCCATAATTTTCCCGCAACCTGGTCCATACGTGGAAACTAGAAGCTCTCCATCCTATTGATGTAGAATGGGGTATAATATGCGACAGTCCATCAATTCGGTAGCAAAGCATTCATCACAGAAGAAAACTACCTTTAGTAGCATTAAGATTCGCTTGAGAATTTCACAAGGCAAGGAATTTCACTCATTAGTGTATAGTCGGCTGTAACGAAATGAAAGACAAGCTGACACCAAGATATCGATGTTCACCGAAAAGTTTCGGACTCTGTCTTGGTTGATATGCATTATTGCCCTTAATAGGTTTCGTAATGTCTCCATCATCCGCTCAAGTAAAGTTTCTTTCTGTCACAATTTGATACTGAGCCTGAAAGTGCTCAATTTTTTCTTAAGGCATTCCAGAAATGGTTTTATTAACGTTGTGAACACATGAGGGACACAAGTTGCCCCAAGTTAGGTTAGGTTAGGTTAGGTTTCTTGAGAGTGCAGCAATAACGATCCTTCACTGCGGCTCTTTGCTCTATTGTGGCTCACACCTATTGATATTTCCCCCAGTAGCT